AATCATGACCAATATTCATGATATAACTTTAATCTTTATTTCTCTTTATATGATATACTGTTGTTTCAAGTTACACTTCTTTACAACAAAAATAAAAGTTGGGCATGTAAAATAATTGAAAATTTGTGTATATAAATATTTTTACAAATGCAAATATCTGAATATGGCTATGAAATCTAAAGTATAAAATAATTCAAATGTGGGTGTGTTGATATAAAACAATTTCAATGTGGGTTTTTAAATAATTACAAATTTTGATTCCTAAATCTTATAAATTAAATGATTCAAACCAATCATACTGTAGACATATTTCATTCTACATTCATAATATTCAATGTTGATATGGTAAATAATTATTATACCAAAATGTGGTTTATATAAATAGCAAATTATGATGATATACAAATCATTCATTTAACAGAAGAAAAATTTGTGTAATGTCATCTGTTGGAATATATTAAGTATTACACATGGACAGGATGTTCCCCATAAAATTAAGGTATTCCACACCCCAGAGTACACGCAACTGTCAAATAGAAGTTATTGCTTTACCTGTAATCAGCCATACAACTTATCAGTTGACGGACCATGCCACTACAATTTAAAAAGTTTGTTGATAGATGAAAATGAAAATCATCATTTTGATGAAAAAAAATTGAATTGAAATGGATTTTCTTCATCAAAATTATGAAGTTAATTATTTTAACATAAAAACAAATTGAATAATTCCCAAAGATTAAAAAAGATTATTTTCTACTCCAGGAATAATAAAAAAAAATGTATTTATAATGGGTCCCATCAATGATTTCTATAGAAATCATCGGTCTTATGAAATGGTTCTCAAACAGACATGCATAATATAGATCTAAACATTTTTTTCTTTTCAGGAAGGAGTTATCACAAATATTTATTTTTGATAAAAAATTATAAAAATCAACACTCAAATTTGAATAAAAAATGTTTTTGGGTTGTTCTAAAAAATGAAAAATTCGTAAGGGTTCCGCGGAACCCAGTGTCTCGCCTACTTTTTCTGTTAATCGCAGGCTCAACAAAAATGAGGAAGTAAATCAATAAAAATATTCCTCTTGATACTATCTTTTGATTGTAAGAAGCTTCTGTCCAAGTTTGGTAAAAAACCAGGATAGTTTATGAATCTAATATATGTTTAAAAACTTTAACTGCAGACTGAATGTAATGTTCACTGGAAGAAAACAAAATTTCCTTCTAGATACTAGCATTTGATCATAAACAAGCTTCTGTTAAAGTTTGGTACAAATCCAAAATAGTATAAGAAAGTTATTAAAATTTTAAAAACTTTAACCACAGAGTGAATGTGTTGTTTCCTGACAGAAAATCTAAGTCCATTCAAAAGTAAAATACGGAAAAAATGGATTTATTATTTTACAAAAATTCCTTCTAGATACTAGCTTTTGATCATAAACAAGCTTCTGTCCAAGTTTGGTACAAATCCAAAATAGTATAAGAAAGTTATTAAAATTTTAAAAACTTTAACCACAGAGTGAATGTGTTGTTTCCTGGCAGAAAATCTAAGTCCATTTAAAAGTAAAATACAGAAAAATGGATTTATTATTTTACAAAATTTCCTTCTAGATACTATCTTATGATCATAAACAAGCTTCTGTCCAAGTTTGGTAGAAACCCAGGATAGTTTAAGAAAGTTATTAAAATTTCAAAAACTTTAACCACAGAGTGAATATTTGTGGACGCCGCCGACGACGACGTCGACGGAATGTAGGATCGCTATGTCTCGCTTTTTCGACTAAAGTCGAAGGCTCGACAATTAGGTTTTTGAATCAAGATGGGAACAAATTCTTTGACCTAAACGAAAGCCCCCCCCCCCCCTCTTTTTTTAGCCACACAAACCCAAAAGATGAATTGTGGGGTCCAAAAGAGATACAAGACACCTATTTTAGTAAAGCAAATTTGACTGGCAGTTTTGCGAACGGCAAAAATCTAAATGGTGTTTGTCAATACCTTCGACTTATATTCCAAGTGAAAACAATTACTTAAATGTTTAATAAAAATAAATCAAAATTAAACTACATGGGGGATTATTCAGGGTATTCCAACTTAGTTGCACCAAAAGGGTATCTTACTATACCAAATTAATCCTCGATTCTTCAAAGTTTAGTTTAGCCATAATAAAAAGGAGTATATAACAGCAATAGAATGTCATAAACAGTGCAGAATAAGTCTGTTCACATTTCAGGCGAAATTTATACTGTTGAGATAGTGTCAAGACATATTTAAGACTGTCAAGAATGTGTCGAGACATATTCAGACATTATTTAGAATGTCAAGAATATGTCGAGACATATTCAGACATTATTAAGAATGTCAAGAATATGTCAAGACAGATCGAGACAAATTTAAGACAGTCAAGAATTGGTCGAGACTAATCCAGACTCTTATCAGATGATACAGGAAGTGTCGAGAAATTTTTAGACAATGTTCATACTGTCAAGACACTTGTCAAGAGAAATCAAGAACCTTATTAGACAAATTCATACTATGTCAAGAATTTTTAAAAATTATTCAGACAAATTAAGAATGTCGAGTAAAAATTCATGCAAATTCAGACAAAAACTGGTCTTTTCAGACTTTTTGACTTTTGTAGTGGAGACAAGAAAGACAGTGTCTTAGATACATGATTTTTTATTAGCTGGTATTGGCTTTGAACTAGCTTTCAGTAACTGTGAGTACCCTTAGATCTGTACTTTGAGTTTTTATTGTTGTGAGTGATGTATAAATACCCTGCCTCGCCCAGACTGTATTTGTGTGAGATGTTTTTTTCTGCTTTATGATGAGTTGAGCCCTTTTGAACTGATTTTTATAGCTTGTTCTGTGTACTGTTACACAGCTGTCCCAGGTATAGGGAGGGTTGGCGCCTTCATACATGTTTAACTCCGCAACATTCTTCTTTGGGTGCCTTTCCCAAGTCAGGCCTGTAGTTCAGTGGTTGTTGTTGGTTCTTGTCTGTCATATTTGTTTTTCGTAAATAGTTTTGTTTAATTCACCCCTCCCAAACTGCATTATAAAGTGGCATGTTTTTTTCTAGATTTTAAAATAAGCTCAGGATATGAAACCGGTAGCTCTACGTATATATTGAGTCCCATCTCTATGTCTGATCGCCCTTTATTGGTAGTGCCGCGTACTGTCTCCGTATTTCGTGGATTCATATGCCCAAACATGACATTCATGAAACCCCACTGTGGGTGTCTTGATAGAAGCTGGAGTTTCTCATCTTTTCGGAGCACCTAGTTCGTCCTATTTGTCATCTTTTATTCTGGGTTCTGTGTTTTTTTTTCTGTGTCTCGATATTTTCTTCATTTTTTACTTACGCTTCATTTGTCGCCATTTTCCGCAAAATTAAATAAAACTTAGTTAAGTAATACAAGGGGTTGAAAGTGTTACGACCAAAGTGGATGAGAAGAGTTATCCAACTCTGGTATATTTATGTATGTAGCTGATAGTGGTGAAATCTCACTCCCTTGATACGAAAGACACTAAACAATACCGGGGACTAGAACAGCACAGAATGACAATAGACACACAATCTCCGAAAAAGGGGTGAGGATAAGGACTGAACAGTTTGCAATAAGCATGTGTATCAACTCCAAGGCACTGAGACAAATATCCAGCATGAGAAGAATGAGGGAGCAGCCATTTAACTTCAAAAAGGGGGGGGGATGGGGGGGGGGGGGGGGGGGGGGGGGGGTAGTATGTTCTTTTTTTTCTGAGTCAGAAATTATTTTTATTTAGTTTTTCGACGCTATCAATCACATTTTTTTCTCTCTAAATTTAACACTATAAGGTATGGGGAAGATCTGGATTCAGAATATTATTTTTTGTCATCTGCTTGGCCAGAATATTTTTTTTCATCAAATTGGGGATCAGATTATTTATTTAGGAAAAAACCATAATATATGGCTAATCCTGATTGGTCGAGATGTGCACCTGTTATTTTCTGTTATAAGAGACTTCGTGCTCTCTACGTTATACCATAGGCAAAATAATATATATTCTTTAGCCCTAACTGAACTGAGATGTCTTTTCAACGCTAGGATGAGACATGTGTTTTTAGGTGCAAAATTGATAGGCAAGAGAGATATTTAAGTACAATTTACGTTATGGACCAAAATACTGTCCGAATAATTTTTCTTTAATTCTGGCAAGAGTTGTTAGTTTATTACGTTTACTTATTGAAAAGTATTTGATATTTTCACAAACACTCTAATTCAGACGGCACGTCATGGTGTGGAACTAACAGGAGTAAAATAATCGGTACAAAACTAACATGTGAAACGTCCAACATGGGCCATATTGAGCATACGTATAAACGATACGATACGATATTTTGGGGATAAAGTTTCCTATCATGATGTTTTTTTTATAGAAAGTTGCGCTGCTTACAAGGAAGCTGATGTATCAAGGGTTCCGAGTGGTAATGTTGAAGTCATCCCGTCGAAAGTTTTACGAACCCTTCGCTTTGTATTGAAGGGGTTCATGGTTCTTTTGCTTCAGTTTTCATGCGAAAGATATTTAAAAATTTGATAGTATATGATGCATGATCATTCATATGACTTATATACGTATGCGTATTTCAACAAGAGTTGTGTTCCGATTGAGTCTCAAAGTTTTTTCGTAAGTGTGGGAAACATTGGGTTATTTCTCTTGGTGTGCGAGTTCTGAATCTTAAATTTAAAAATATAAAAGATCATCTCGGCTTTCGTAGTTATAACATGTAGTACACTAATCAATTGCATACCGAAATACATATATTTCATAACTGTGTGAAGCTTAAAAACTGATAAACAGAATATTATAATTATTTCTGGTTGTATACTATTTATTTCAAAATTAACAAAAACATAACTATAAATACTGGTTAATACAAATGTGAGTCATATACACAACAATACTTCAAACTTAAAACATGATACAATTTTACATTAGATAACTATAAATGTAAAAATGAAAATAAAAATAAAGATAAAAACAATATCGTGAATGTAATGACTATTTGTTACCTGAATTATTTTGTTAATTTTTGATAATTTCATCTTAAAAGTAGTACGAATCTATAACGTATTTCAGGCCTTTATGAGTGAATAAATATACAAATAACATGTATGATATACAATATACAATACATGTATTAAGATTAAAAAATCATAATATCATGAAACTATTGAACAAATATTGTAAATTTGCACTTTAAAGATTATTTAAAGAAGGAAGCTTACATCATATGTATCATTATGATAATATATTTGTTAACCTTTCAGTCATTTTTTAATACCGATCAGTGAAAAAAAAAAGTCACATAAAGAAAATAATAATGATCAGTAAGAACAAACCCGCAGGGATCTATAATACCCGTATTGAAGACGATAAGCATACAGGTACAAGGAAACAATTATATATTGACCAAAGTAAACTATATCCAAAGATGTAAGCAATAAATTTAAACAAATTTTAAAAAAACTTAACCCTCCGATATGCATCCAGATCTACAGTACGTTGTATCGTTGGATCAACTTTGATCAAGATTGTACACTTCTATTTCACGACTAGTGCAATACTATAAACAAAGAGAGATGTAGATTATACGTTAACGAGACAACAATCCAACGATAAAATAACCAAACATGATTTGGAGGGCACCAATAGACAGATGTCCATAGAATGTATCAAACAATAAATATTCGAGTCTATGAAAGTTGTGAAGACGCGATTTTTTGCAATATTTTTTAAAATTTAAGATATATGCAGACTATCCTTTAAGACAAGCATTTCTTTCTTGTTTGAAATTATATATTGATTGATTGCTGGTTGCTTAACGTCCAGTGGTAAATATTACATGCATATTTAGGACGAGAACAAATCAAAAATAAATACAATAGGTATGTTCTATAATAGAGGGGTCCGAGATTAAGGTCTAAGAAATTTAGATTGCCACGGGAAATGAGGGTATATTGGATAGGGACAGAAATTTAGCCTTGCAACAGGTCACCAACGGACCCCTCAAAGAGTTGTTACAAGGGTTCTTAACGTGCAAAGAGCGTGGCACTCTCTTTACACGAGGCATCGGATTTAACGTCCCCATTCTGACCGGACGTGGCTGCAAATTTGTACATCCCGCACAGCCAAACGGACGCCCCACTGTTGGCGAGGATTACTGCCGGTCGGAGGAAGACCAATGGTGAACATACTTCTATTCCCCAGTCATTTCGGGGGTTAAAACATATAGGATCAAAGCAATAATCATGATAATAGTTTCGACAATATCCTGTGCGAAAATTAACTAATAGTAGAACACATTTTACTGTGTTTGATGTTGTGTGATTCTTGCACAAAGTCTTCAAACATATAACGCCTTTCCAGACAAAATAGGTTGCCAAGGAAGTTGTTTTTAGACTCGAGGAGCTGTCTGTGTTTATTCTGCTGCATTGGAGAAGTATATTTTCGGTTTTTGTATGTCATCGGGAAAAAGACTTTCAATTTTTGACGTAGTGTATAAATTAAACAACGCTCGCCATTAAGTATTTAAACATGGTTCATTTCTCATGGAATATTACATAGTGGTAAAAAGCAAGATACCAGTAATCTATAAATTAATGATATTGGTTTTGCTGATTGTTGAAGATCGTTTTGTGACCTATAGTTATTAACTTCTATGTCATTTGGTGTCTGGTGGAGAGTTGTCTCATTGGCAATTATACTACATCTTCTTATTTTTATATTAAATTACCAAACGAAAACTGTATAGACAGATTTTTTAAAATTCATTTGTAGGATTCCACCCTAATCGTCACAGGTGTATGACAGTATGGGCATACAAAATACATTGTAGCACACTGTTTGCAAGTCAGTCTATGACCGCAATTAAAAATCATTGATTTTTTCCTTTCATTGCATTTTACACATTGTATAGTTTCCATTTCTTTTCGTGTACAAGTTTCCCAATGGTATGGATCATCTTGGATTTGATGGCTTCTTAGTTCTGCGTAAATAAGCATTAACTTGATTCAAATACTAAAACAGTCATTAATAATGATTGTATCTTTAAAAGATAATGTTTGGGTGAGTTTTGAATAACACAAGGTTGCTGCATGGTAATACATCTGTTCGATATATGACATAAATTCGTTATTATACTTAATTGCAATTGCTTGTCTGTTTATAGGCCTTTTATATTATGCTTATATCAGGTCACTTAACCTTCGGCATTTTTCGTGTTATTTGGTCGACGTTTTTTCATAAAATACGCACACAATATTGATACTCTAATACTTTTTCCTGCTTGGTTTAGTCTTTGCTATGCGATTTTGTTTTTCTAGTAATTTTTTAGTATGTCATATTATAAGTTAAACTTTTAAGTCATTTTTGTAGTTTTTGGCAGTTAATGCTTGTTTAGAACTCACGAACAGAAAAGCATGTTCTGGTGACAATAACTATAAAGTCTTACCTCTTTCAATTCCCGGATCTCTCTTTTCAAATGTCTGATAAAACAATAATAAAAGAAAATAATAAAAGAAAAAAAAAAAAAACGAAAGGAGAAATAGATACACTGAACGAAAAAATTTGATGTATAATGACACAATATTTATACAATATGCAAAACAATGTAAAACTATAACCTGGATCAAAATGGCTATACATATGAAATTACGTACACAGGTAACTTTAAATATAATAATTTTGTTGTTAGGAGTACGGAAATATTTTTTACAAAATAAATTTGTTGTTCAATGTACGAGAACAGAAGTGAAAATTTGTATGTTTAAGCAATTTATTGGTATGTGCAACCATATAGATTGTTTTGTATTGTCTCAGCTAAATGCTTGCTTCTTAAAGAAGATTTGTTATGGCAAATCATAACTCGATGATAAATATAGTACGTAGGTGAAACTGGGCGATATTTATCTAAACGCACGCAAGAACAGCTGAATCGTTTTAAAAGACCCAATAAATTCAAAAGTATCATTTATCAACATCTCAAAAAGCACAATCATCCTATTAAATATTTAACAGTTCAACCTTTAGAAGTAGTAAATAAGCAGCCTGGTGAATCTCATTCAAAGTATGTACGATCGCGGAAAATAATTGAATTAAATTGGATTAAAAAATTACAGTCTACCCTCTCGGTCTTAATGATAATATCATGGGAATTGGTAATATATCAAGAACCGATTCTGTTAACATTTTGGATATAGTTTCTAAAACTGTTCGTAAAAACCGTTCGCATGGGCGTAGAAAAAATCGCAATCAAAGAAAATTTCGGACCAACCATACAAATATTTCGGACCTAATTTCTATTTCAAAAAACAACGGCAGACATTATCTATTAACCAAGCTCTGTTCTTTACCTATGAATAAATTAAATAAAATTTTAGAGGATTGCAACACAATTTCATATTGCAGTCCTAAGTATGAAATCGTTCAAATTATAAAGGCATATTGTTATTCTAAACAGTTTCCCAAAATTGATCGCCCTGAAGATCATAAAAAACATTTTATTAAAATAAAGTATGTCAATAAAGGTTTTGATTTTGTAAATATTGCCGGTATTTTTAACGACCATTATGTTAAAGAACATATTCCTGGATATTTTGATAATACTGAACTCCCTCTTATTTGTTATATTTACAAGAAATCTACCCGAAAATTTGTGTTTAATTATAGCCAAGTCTGTAAAGATGTAAATATCAGTGAAAATACACCTCCGTCATGTAATTGTAGTAATTCCGAATACACTTATGGCCCCATTTCCCATGTTATTACAGGAGACCTTAACATCGTTCGCGACCGAGAGTTAAAATCATTCCTCAGTAAAGGACCTAAATATCGTCCCCCGTCAATTATTAATTGGAATGAGTGTCGTAATATCATCCACGACTCACTTCGTGCTTACTGTTTGAAATGGATAAAACGGGAAAAAGCGGACAAAAAATTTTTGGACTTTTTTTTTAATTCAGTAATGAAGATAGTTGATATACGTATACAACATTTTAAATAACATTTTACTCTTAACAACAACCATAAAAATCCTATCTCTCGTATCAAACATAAACTAAAAGAACTAGCCAAGGAATTTGTTTTTGTCCCGGCTGATAAAGCTGCAAATAATATCATTATAGTTTGACGTAAATTTTACATTGAGGTTCTGCAAAAGGAAATCACGAATTCACCAACATTCCAACTGACTTCATTTTCAGAAAACGATATCTGTTACAAACATAAACTATTAGCTACTTCTTTACAAGCAGAACCAAATACAATGAAAGTCCCAACTATGTACTGGCTTCCGAAGCTACACAAATCACCTTACAAATATAGATTTATTTCGTCTTCAAGTCATTGTTCCACTACTAAATTGTCTATTCTACTTACTAGTACACTTAGTACAATCAAAAACCTGATAATAAATTGTTCAAATAAGGCCTTTGAAAATAGTGGAATTAACTACTTTTGGAGTGTCAAAAACTCGTTGGAAGTACTTGATAAATTGCATGCATATATTGGTGATTTTGAATCTGTTCAAAGTTTTGATTTTTCTACCCTATATACCACTTTGCCTCATATTCTTATGAAGAAAAAATTCACACACCTAATTAAATGGGCATTTAAAAAGTCGGAATGCGAATACATATGTTCAAACTCTTTAAGGTCATTTTTTAGTAGCAACAAACAAAAGAGATATGTCAATTGGACATGATTTGATACTATATCTGCCCTTGAATTTTTACTTGATAACATTTTTGTTCGCTTTGGAGATTCCGTATATCGTCAAGTTATCGGAATTCCAATGGGGACTAACTGTGCACCACTTATTGCGGACCTGTTTTTGTATTGTTATGAGTTACAAGTTATGACTAAAATCAGCAAAGACCCATCGAAACAACATCTGATACAAAAATTTAACAATACTTTTAGATATTTGGATGATATATTGGCTCTCAATAATGACAACTTCAGTATGTATACTAAAGGATTTTATCCTGTTGAACTTACTTTAAATAAAGCTAATACTAACAATGACCACTGTCCTTTCCTCGATCTTGATATCTATATCATTAACGGGAAGCTTAATACAAAAATTTATGATAAAAAAGATGATTTTTCATTTCCTATCGTTAATTATCCATTTTTAGATGGTGACGTTTCCTTGTCGCCATCTTATGGTGTTTATATATCTCAACTTGTACGATTCGCTCGTGTATGTAACAACGTATTATATTTTAGCGAGAGAAATTTATATATTACTGAAAAATTATTACACCAGGGTTTTCGATATCATAAACTTGTCAAAACATTTACTAAATTTTATCATCGGTATAAGGACATCATTCGTAAATATAACTCAACATGCAGACATCTTATACGTTCGGGTATTTCACATCCAATCTTTTATGGTAATATTCTTTACAAAGCACAAAAATGTCAGTATTCACCTCAAAAGCTAAAAAACCTTAAAACAGACTTATTAAGAAGGGATATAGTTACGATACTGTTGTCAGGTCATTAAAGATTGCATATTTTGGCTTTAATATTGATTCACTTATAGGGTCTTTGCATCGGAATTAAACATATTTTAATCTAAAACCAGTTGTTGGCATGACACGGGTTATGTTCTTCTCATATATTTTATGACGGTATAATACTAAACCCCTAACAGGAGGGATTGTGCCTGATATTCATATGATGAAGACATAATCTTTCAATCAGTTTAATTGAGGTCTGGAGCTGGCATGTCAGTAACTGCTAGTAGTCTGTTGTTATTTATGTATTATTGTCATTTTGTTTATTTTCTTTTGTTTCCTATTCTGACATTGGACTCGGACTTCTCTTAAACTGAGTTTTACTGTGCGTACTGTTGTACGTTTGTTTTTTCTACATTGGCTAGAGGTATAGGGGGAGGGTTGAGATCTCAAACAACATCTTAAACCCCGCCGCATTTTTGCGCCTGTCCCAAGTCAGGAGCCTCTGGCCTTTGTTAGTCTTGTATCATTTTTAATTTTAGTTTCTTGTGTATAATTTGGAGTTTAGTATGACGTCCATTATCACTGAACTAGTATACATATTTGTTTAGGGGCCAGCTGAAGGACGCCTCCGGGTGCGGGAGTTTCTTGCTGCATTGAAGACCCATTGGTGGCCTTCGGCTGTTGTCTGCTCTATGGTCGGGTTGTTGTCTCTTTGACACATTCCCCATTTCCATTCTCAATTTTATTTTTTACAGAGTTTGTCTTTAGTGCCGTGTGGAGACAGTAGAGTGCCTCCCCGTGCTTCAGGTTTATGCTCTTATAATATACTAGATTATGGAGTGTGTGTCCGAGCGAGAACTTCTCTATGTTCATTACTTTAGGAATATTTATCAAAAAGTAGTATGTCACATTCAGCCCCATTCTTCTATTTAGTCAGACGTCAGTCGCTACCCTGATATACCCTATCTTTTGTTTTATTTTTCGGATAATTTATGACGGATAGCGTTTGACGTCTTTAGCCGAACAGTTTTATCATATTCACATAATTCAATTTATTGTGTGCTCCTTTCTAATAAAATCCACATAACAAAAAACAAATATGAAGCTTAGAAATGGAAAAATAGTAAATACTAAACTCGTTCAAAGGGTATCTACACGTCTCAATCTTCAAAATCGCTTATTTAAAAATACTACCATCGCTAACATTTTTAACAATAAAAATCGTGGTTACCCTTCTATCGAAAAGTGTCATGCCAACAAATGACTTACATGTCCCCGTCTTTCCACCAACAATACGGTAAGGTCTACGTTTAATGGTCGCACATTTTCTTTAAATTTTGAAACTGATATCACTTGAAAAACAAACAGTATTATTTATTTACTCACATGAAACAAACCGCGATGCGGTATTCAATACGTAGGTGAAACTGGACGATATTTATCTAAACGCACGCAAGAACACCTGTATCGTTTTAAAAGACCCAATATATTCAAAAGTATCATTTATCAACATCTTAAAAAGCACAATCATCCTATTAAATATTTAACAGTTCAACCTTTAGAAGTTATAAATAAGCAGCCTGGTGAATCTCATTCAAAGTTTGTACGATCGCGGAAAATAACTGAATTAAATTGGATTAAAAAATTACAGACAGTCTACCCTCTCGGTCTTAATGATAATATCATGGGAATTGGTAATATATCAAGAACCGATTCTGTTAACATTTTGGATATAGTTTCTAAAACAGTTCGTAAAAACCGTTCTCATGGGCGTAGAAAAAATCGCAATTAAAGAAAATTTCGGACCAACCATACCAATATTTCGGACTTATTTCTATTTCAAAAAACAACGGCAGACATTATCTATTAACCAAGCTCTGTTCTTTACCTATGAATAAATTAAATAAAATTTTAGAGGATTGCAACACAATTTCATATTGCAGTCCTAAGTATGAAATCGTTCAAATTATAATGGCATATTGTTATTCTAAACTGTTTCCCAAAATTGATTGCCCTGAAGATCATAAAAAACATTTTATTAAAGTAAAGTATGTCAATAAAGGTTTTGATTTTGTAAATATTGCCGGTATTTTTAACGACCATTCTGTTAAAGAACAAATTCCTGGATATTTTGATAATACTGAACTCCCTCTTATTTGTTATATTTACAAGAAATCTACCCGAAAATTTGTGTTTAATTATAGCCAAGTCTGTAAAGATGTAAATATCAGTGAAAATACACCTCCTTCATGTAATTGTAGTAATTCCGAATACACTTATGGCCCCATTTCCCATGTTATAACAGGAGACCTTAACATCGTTCGCGACCGAGAGTTAAAATCATTCCTCAGTAAAGGACCTAAATATCGTCCCCCGTCAATTATTAATTGGAATGAGTGTCGTAATATCATCCACGACTCACTTCGTGCTTACTGTTTGAAATGGATAAAACGTGAAAAAGCTGACAAAAAATCTTAGGACTCTTTTTTTAATTCAGTAATGAAGATAGTTGATATACGTATACAACATTTTAAATAACATTTTACTCTTAACAACAACCATAAAAATCCTATCTCTCGTATCAAACATAAACTAAAAGAACTAGCCAAGGAATTTGTTTTTGTCCCGGCTGATAAAGCTGCTAATAATATCATTATAGTTTGACGTAAATTTTATATTGAGGTTCTGCAAAAGGAAATCACGAATTCGCCAGCATTCCAACTGACTTCATTTTCAGAAAACGATATCTGTGACAAACATAAACTATTAGCTACTTCTTTACAAGCAGAACCAAATACAATGAAAATCCCAACTATGAACTGGCTTCCGAAGCTACACAAATCACCTTACAAATATAGATTTATTTCGTCTTCAAGTCATTGTTCCACTACTAAATTGTCTATTCTACTTACTAGTACACTTAGTACATTCAAAAACCTGATACTAAATTGTTCAAATAAGGCCTATGAAAATAGTGGAATTAACTACTTTTGGAGTGTCAAAAACTCGTTGGAAGTACTTGATAAATTGCATGCATATATTGGTGATTTTGAATCTGTTCAAAGTTTTGATTTTTCTACCCTATATACCACTTTGCCTCATATTCTTATGAAGAAAAAATTTACCAACCTAATTAAATGGGCATTTAAAAAGTCGGAATGCGAATACATATGTTCAAACTCTTTAAGGTCATTTTTTAGTAGTAACAAACAAAAGAGCTATGTCAATTGGACATGAATTGATACTATATCTGCCCTTGAATTTTTACTTGATAACATTTTTGTTCGCTTTGGAGATTCCGTATGTCGTCAAGTTATCGGAATTCTAATGGGGACTAACTGTGCACCACTTATTGCGGACCTGTTTTTGTATTGTTATGAGTTACAAGTTATGACTAAAATCATCAAAGACCCATCGAAACAACATCTGATACAAAAATTTAACAATACTTTTAGATATTTGGATGATATATTGGCTCTCAATAATGACAACTTCAGTATGTATACTAAAGAAATTTATCCTGTTGAACTTACTTTAAATAAAGCTAATACTACCAATGACCAATGTCCTTTCCTCGATCTTGATATCTATATCATTAACGGGAAGCTTAATACAAAAATTTATGACAAAAGAGATGATTTTTCATTTCCTATCGTTAATTATCAATTTTTAGATAGTGACGTTCCCTTGTCGCCATCTTATGGTGTTTATATATCTCAACTTGTACGATTCGCTCGTGTATGTAACAACGTATTAGATTTTAGCGAGAGAAATTTATATATTACTGAAAAATTATTACACCAGGGTTTTCGATATCATAAACAAGTCAAAACATTTACTAAATTTTATCATCGGTATAAGGACATCATTCGTAAATATAACTCAACATGCAGACATCTTATACGTTCGGGTATTTCACATCCAATCTTTAATAGAATTATTCTTTACAAAGCACAAACATGTCAGTATCCACCTCAAAAGCTAACAAAACCTTTAAACAGACTTATTAAGAAGGGATATAGTTACGATACTGTTGTCAGGTCATTAAAGATTGCATATTTTGGCTTTAATATTGATTCACTTATAGGGTCTTTGCATCGGAATTAAACATATTTATTCTAAAACCAGTTGTTGGCATGACACGGGTTATGTTCTTCTCATATATTTTATGACGGTATAATACTAAACCCCTAACAGGAGGGATTGTGCCTGATATTCATATGATGAAGACATAATCTTTCAATCAGTTTAATTGAGGTCTGGAGCTGGCATGTCAGTAACTGCTAGTAGTCTGTTGTTATTTATGTATTATTGTCATTTTGTTTATTTTCTTTTGTTTCCTATTCTGACGTCGGACTCGGACTTCTCTCAAACTGAGTTTTACAGTGCGTACTGTTGTACGTTTGTTTTTTCTACATTGGCTAGAGGTATAGGGGAGGGTTCAGATCTAAAAAAAACATCTTTAACCCCGCCGCATGTTTGCGCCTGTCCCAAGTCAGGAGCTTCTGGCCTTTGTTAGTCTTGTATCATTTTTAGTTTTAGTTTCTTGTGTATAATTTGGAGTTTAGTATGACGTCCATTATCACTGAACTAGTATACATATTTGTTTAGGGGCCAGCTGAAGGACGCCTCCGGGTGCGGGTGTTTCTCGCTGCATTGAAGACCCATTGGTGGCCTTCGGCTGTTGTCTGCTCTATGGTCGGGTTGTTGTCTCTTTGACACATTCCCCATTTCCATTCACAATTTTATTTATACATAATTAGACTTTGTAAACATTACTCTTTTTTCAAGTATCTCTTGTCACAACTTTGAAGTCCTCAATCTGCGTCAATATTAATAAAAAGATCAAAATAGGAAGTAGACTTTCTAGTTTCGGTTATGCATTTTATGCCAACATCACTGGTATATATGAGATGTGGATTTTGGAGTGACAAGACATCACCACTATATCCGAGAGTGAAATTAAACCCCCAAAAAGTACAAATCTGTTCTTACCTTTGTAATATCGAGTACGTATTTGGGTCCTTTTCTGACTTCCAAGTACTTGCAGAAACCTCTAAGAAGGGCATGCGCTTCCCATGGACCCAACTGTAACTTCCAAGGCAACAAGGATAAACCACAACAATGGCAAATGGCAATTCGTCTTGAAGTTCCTTTATCTTTCACTAATATATAATTGTTAAAAAATTAAAAAAAAAAAAATTGTTGTAAAATGTGAGATGAATATATTGAAATATGAATATCTATGGCATTTTATATCGAAGAATGTCTGAAATAAATACTTAAACATTAAAGAACAGTTGATTAATAAGTCCAACATTAATACCTTTTCAAAGTTCACAGTTTCTGTTTTTATTTTAAATTATCATCTAAATATAAAAAAATTTGGCTTTCACATTATTGTCGTTTTGCTGTCTGTACCTCAAATGGGACCTACAGAATCAGACTTCTCACCATGTTAACTGTGTACGTACATGAGCAAAACAACGGGTGCTTACACTTCCGGAGTACCTGAGATCATAACTAAACTTGTTTTTTTTTTGGGTGAGTATTGCTCATTCTTTATTTTTCTTTTTGTGTTTTGAGTATTGTTATTTGTCTTTTCCTTTTTTGCCATGGCATTGTCAGTTTGTTTTTCGACTTATGAGTTTGAATATCCTATTGATATCTTTCGCCGCTCTTTGCGCTCTATTTTGTTTTGTCAAAGTATTCATTTTCGCATTGGTGTTTACGATTATATTTGTCTGTTTTATAGATTCAAAGTGCGTACCATAAAAAAAACCTGCATGTGACATACGTTCGGATGAGATATTGCCAAATTCTTCATAAAAAGTGTTTCTTCTGTCAATCTCTATTATATAATTCGGATACATTGGGATAAAAGACTGAAATTATTAAATGAAATTAGGTTAACTTGTCTAACCAGGATCTCCAAACTGCGAACGAAAAACAAAGCATACATGTAACAATTTAAATTTATAATTATTGTTTAAAAATATTCTCGATACAAAGGATTTGTATGATTTGGAATAGATTTATTAAAAATAAAATACATATAAGACATTTTCAATACCGAGAATTAAGCATTATCATGATTATGTCGATATGCTATTATCAAAGACATGCTATTTATGTTCGCAATTTTAGCTTAACAATCAGTTAAAACAGTCATCAAAATAGTTCAAATAAAGTTATAGTTGCATTGATTTAATATAAAACACAAAACATCTTGACAGTTTAGTTCACAAAATATGAGAAATAATACACAACACAACCTTTGCCCCGAGTAAAACTGCTACATGTGTAAGTCACGGTATGCATAGTATAGGTTTTGCTCATTGTTCGAGTGCCACTGATGAATTCGATGTAGACGAAGCCCGACTCTGACCTACCTAATCATCAGCTTGGTATTTTTATTGAGGACTCTGGAAGTTAAGGAGGTAACACTCAATATATCAATCAATCTTGTATGAGTTTGTTCTGAAGTAACATAAACGTAAAACGTTATTTCTGTTTTTTTGTTGTTGACGTTTCTTCTAAATTTATTATAAACGATTGACGTTAGTGGTGAATACATTGTTTATACAAAAGTATGAAATGGGATGAATGAATTTACCTGTTTCCAAGAGTTATGTAGGAACGTTAGTCGATCTTTGTCAATGTGTTGCATGATTAAAGTACAGACTGGAGAAAATCGGGCATGAATAACGGTTAAATTTGACATTAATTCTTCCTTTTCAATTACCACACGGCAACTGCTACAACGAACTGCATCCATACCTGCAATTTGTAAATTTTGTAAAGTTTTACTACGCTAATTACGAAATAGAACAAAACGTCAGCTTCTATTCTCTTTATGAATTTGTTTGGTTATCTAAAAGTTTGAATACACAATATTACATCAATATACATTATAACTGAACATAAATTATATGTAAAAAGAATTGCGTAAAACGACGAAAGTGTGCTTATTAAGGCTGTTCGTTGCTTTTTTTTTCAGAATATCAAGCTATTGAAAAGACTGTTATAAATTGAAAGTAACAAAATAATGGAACTGAAAAAGCAGAAAAAAAATGAAAGGTCCGTGTCCTTGTTTTTGTGATACAGGCCATTGAAAATTTGGTCGGAAATGTTTTTTCTCTAGATTTTCCCTATATATAACATAGACGCCTCTTTCAAGAACTACGACAAAATTAAAGGAATAAATAAAATTTACAAAAATGGCTTTTAAACTCTATGCAATAAAATTATGGAAAGAAAAGTAGGAGATTTTTTTAATGGAACTACATGTCGATAAAACCCGACGATTTTGAATATCTGACAAAAAGTGGAAAACAAGACATACGTGCAATGTAAAACCGTTTAACGGGTTACATTATAAGCAGATTTCGACTCGAAACAGTAAAGTATTGGTTCAAAAAAAGGATTGCTTCTAACGTTTCAAAGCCCTGTACAAATAAAATTAATGATTATTCAATGAAAATCTCTCTATATATAAAAGTTAATATAAAACTCCCGTTTTTGATATAGCGGTAGATCAAGTATTTAAAGGGCTTATTTTCTTGGAAAATCAAAGAAATTGCAACATAATTTGATTTGATATATGCAAAGTTTATTAATAACGTGCAACATTTTAGCTATAAGACCTTGTTTTCACACAATCTTATAAATACAAGGAATATTCATGCATATTATTCTTTAGAAAGACATTAAATAAACACTGCATAAATTATGAATATTTTTGAGTTTGAAATAATAAGAACATGCGAATACTCGAACATCATGGATCTTCTTATGTAATGGTTGTCAGAAGGGGTTTCAACTTCTCAGTAGAAAGTGCACAAAATGTATTGGCATGGTTTATAACACACTTCTGTTAAATACTTCGCTGCTAAATTTAGAAGTAATATAAAACTTAGCTTCGAACTTCTTAAGGCAAAGTAGACCTTATTTTATTTAGCTAATCTTGCTACTAGTATGCTCCTTTTTGCAATAAAGCTCCTCACATTGTCGGGCATTGATGATTTCGTAGGTTTGACCGTTCCTGATGAAAATAAGTCCAGAAAAACTCTTTGGGCGCACCAAATTTATAAATTCATTCAATATTACGTTTTTCATTTCTCAAATTTCTTCAACTGAAGGTACAAGGGTGTTACACAACTGATGCCTTATGAAGACCATGTTCGAAAGTACATGTCTTACTCAAAATTTGAAGACATCATTGGGATTATAGATTGAAAGGCCGAAGAAGAGCGTTGAAAAATTAGTTTTCCCTTCTTTTTAGATGTACAATGCAAGATAAAGGTCATTACATTCATGGGTTGGTGTTTTATTGATTAATACCAAATACCGTCTTCTACTTATATTTCTTCAAAAAGTATTTCAAAGCAACACGTAAATACCAGTAATATGACTAATAGAAAAAATCTAAGAATTTTTTTAAAATCAACTAATGATTATAATTAATAATTATGTTCTCTTATATTTTATTCGTGTTCATGCGAATAACACAATAAATACGTAATGCATTAAAATATAGAATATCCTTACCTCCGTCGTATAAATAACCATCACTTGCAAGCTTCTCTGCTAATTTTCTGGCAACTCTAAAACTAGTTTGCAATTCAGAAACCCTAAGTTCTTTCAGAAAAAGCGTCGGGGAGACATGCATTGTATCTTTTGTACTGGAAACAACTTTTCTGCATTTTTTCATATCGCTTACTTCTTTAGCATATTCACATGTTGGCTTCAATTCTAAATGCTTTTCGTGTGGTTCTTTTGTTTCACACCATTCATTAAACCTTGTTGTAACATTGCATATTGGACACATAAGAATGTCATCAATGCCGGTGTATTTGAATCCTGCCTCAATTAGTAAAGAAATCTTCCCATGATGCCAGTTTCCAAACGATTTTAAATTTTCAAAATTATTGCTGCTATAAATTAAAACAGGTTCGATGGTCTGAAAAAAAACCCCAACCGATTAGATATTTAATTGGTGTTAGAGATCATCGATTCCGTCAGATATGTTGAGTGTAAAATACTTAATTATTAAAGATGTATAAAAAAGACTCTATTATTTGTCTACGTACAAAATATTCATAGATACCATTTATTTTATTTTATTTATCACAAAACGAACTGAGACGTCAGTAACGAGGCTATTTATTGTCATTAACAATGTTCTTTACTTACCTGCGAAGAAAAATTTGGTTGAAACATTTTACCAGCCATCGATGGTGTTTTAAAAATATGGTCCATGGTTCACCAAAATGTCATCACTTGAAAACATATTTTTTTTCATTTTTCAATACCTGGAAATAAATTTGTCTGATAATACAACGTTTTAAATTATATGCACATCTATTATCCGCTTTTGTTTTACAGAGAATGTTTACTTTAGTATCTTTGTTATGTTTCAAATAAGAGTTTGAATGATAATTCACGTTCACTGTGTTTATCTGCCGAATGTTGGCTGGATACTATTGATATTTGTTAATGCTTATTTTGACATTTAGTTTATAGTTTATGTATTTTGAGTTGTACTTCAACACTGCTATTACAAGTGAACGAGGGTCGATGTAACTGCGGTGAACGTTTCGTCCCGAGGGTAACACAAACCTAAGAAACAGCACTTTTGTAATGTCATTTATTTAAAATGTTCAGTTTCTGTAAATTTATGTTGATAAAACCTTATGTATTCGACACACTAAAGCTTGTTTACCTCCAAGCAGAGATTGTCTTAGCCTTAATTTGCACACCGTTTTGGAATTTCCAGTTTAAAATCTCTTCTAATGTTTTAATGAGGCATTCCAACTTTTTTGAATCGGGCGCAACCGATGAGTCTGGTATCGACGAAATACTGCTCTGTTGTACCTAATTATACGCCTGGTATGTTAATACAATATTTCCAACCACTGGTTCGATGTAGTTGATATTGGCATTTTCTCCCGGTAGTATCACCAGCTCAGTAGTCAGAACTATTACATGTGTTATACTGACATTAAATGTCATTGATTTGTTAATTTTCTGTAAGTTTCCTGTTTATAGAAATGTTCTACTGTGGATTCATTTATTTTCGTGGGTACCAATTTTCGTGGATTGTGGAAAATTTGCATTTTCGTGGATATTTAATTTCGTTGTTTTGGCAAAGTCTGCATACATGCCTTTATAAAATTTGTAAATCGTTTAACATTTAAATTCGTGGTTACCCTGTAGCCACGAAATCCACGAAAATTGGTATCCAACGAATATTAATGAATCCACAGTATTCGAAAAACGAAAGACGCTAAAGCTATTATATATTTTATCGTTAAAAAACTTTATACTTTGGGATGAATCAATTAAAGAAAACATTACATATTAAAACTTCATCTTTTCAGGTGTAATATTTCGTTTTTAATGGGGATGGTTAGAAGTTTTCTATAAAAAAGTTAATACATGGTTTGGCGTTTTCGGGGAAATCTATAGTAGCCAGAGAGAAATCGTTAGCATAAAAAAGTAATCGGTAAAAACATACAAACTATTTAAATGACATAAGTCATCAGATAATTGCTCATATTGGCTTTCAATGACCATTTTATAAATTATATTTTTGAGATTTTTTTTTGCACTTCAGAAGACCGAAGGAAATTGTTTATAGCAAAGATGATTATAGGACAGCATCTGCACATAGTCTTACGACTGATACTGTAAGTCGAGTGCCTATAAGGATTATTGTCCTTGTTTAGCGATTATTGTACGCTTTTCGGCCATTAACACAAAACTATGACAGATATGAGAAACTTTAAATAGCAATAATTGTCAGCTTGACAACATAACCTAATAAGTCACATGGAGAAAATCACCAGTCGACATCTTGAAGGAGTATTTGCCTTTAAATGATGATTTTTGAAATGTTTAGTTTCTGTATATTTATACCGTTTGTGAAACTAAACTTTCCGAAGAGGGGGCGTACATCAGCTGTTGATACTTTAAAATTCCAAAGATCTGTTGGAGTACATGCAATCTTAGTCTCTTAATTCTACTTGCAATAGCATTAAAACATTTTGATTTTTCTACCCACATTTTCCCCATTTAAAACTTAAATACAAATTACACTTTTAAACTTTAAAGTTTTATAAAACAAGAATGGCGAACGCAAATGCAAGTAAATTGACTTAGGGATGGATAAATCACACTTTTTAAATCACTCTTAATCAAAGAAAAAATCTGTGAAACTGACATTATCAATATGCTTGATTTCTTGATTGACATGCTATTGTTTCCGTTTGGAGGACGTATGAACCTACTGTGCTCCTCTACTTTCCGATTTACTCTTTTATTCACACAAGACTTACATCACATAGTAATTAATTTAATCGAATACTCCTTCTAATTTACTGTTTTATTTATCATTATATCACAGCTGAAATAGTCTTATCTTTGATCTATCTATACTACTAAAATAACGAAGTCCAATTTGTTAGCCGGCAAAACGTAAAAACGACGAATCAAAGAATTCAACTTATATAACTGATAAAGAACAATGGTGTTAATTAAAATTATACTATTCAAGAGGCCCTTCTTTTCTCCCACATAATTGATAAAAGCAATAATTATCAATATCCGTGTCCAATCGGATACTCATACCAACAGTATATATGTCACATGTACATGTAGTTTCCGGTTGCAACACATTACAACTAAGTTGAAACGTTGGAAGCAAGGAAAAACTTTTTAAGTAAGTAGCTAACTCTGTTGAACTGACTGACAAGTAATGTTTACAGTGTAGGGTTGCACTGCTGACCATCAAGCGTCTCCGATTTAGCTAAATGGGCATGAAAAATTCAGACACCGAATCCTAAAGGGGTAATAAATCGTTTAGGGACTATAACTGTCTTTAGATGCATATGTGCGTCACTGCTTTTTAATAATTTATCGTCAACACAACCTTTGATGAACTACATTGATTTTTGAAGTATTTTTTTTTTGCACCTGACCGTGTCAGTAGAAATATTTTGTAAATGAAATAAAAGGGGATTATAAGTTAATAAACAATCAAATAGAATTTGTAATAAACAATTCAATAAGTTTCAAGATTAAAACTTGAGGTTCAGTAATGTAATTTGTGATGTGGACTGATAATAAGTTTTTCTTAATATTAATTATTATTACAGTGCAGCAAACGTCATTATTTATTGCAACCAGCAAAAGAATTTCGCACATAAAGAGCAACAACCACCAAAATTTATTGACATTACTTTAAAGTTTGATGTACTCCAAAATGATAAACGTCAAAATTTGTTGTAAAACTGTTGAACCCAAATCCGTGAAATTTTAGACCTACCAAAATAACTCGCTTTATGGTGATACTGATGTCTGTTTTCCAGTCTGTATATGCATAATGTCCTTGTTGTACAATGAGTTAACTATAGTTCTTAGGCACTAAATCTCAACAAATTTTTACATGATGTCAGAAGCTCCTTTTTGTTTTTGAAGTTTTTGCCATTCCACAGTTATGAAATCATGGGCCATTACTAGTTTATATTAAAATTAGATGTTGTATACTTGCCAATGAGACAAATGACATGATAGTAGTTTTGATAGTTTATTTTCCTGACTTCTGGTTCTACGGGTGTTTAAAGATTCAACTAAAGCATCTTATAAACTTCGTTTTCTAATATGTGTTAATATAAAAAAGAAGATGTAGTATGATTGCCAATGAGACAACTCTCCACAAGAGACCAAATGACACAGAAATTATCAACTATAGGTCACCGTACGGCCTTCAACAATAAGCAAAGCCCATACCGCATAGTCAGCTATAAAAGGCCCCGAAATGACAAATGTAAAACAATTCAAACGAGAAAACTAACGGCCTAATTTATGTACAAATAAATTAACGAAAAACAAATATGTAACACATCAACAAACGACAACCACTGAATTACAGGCTCCTGACTTCGGACAGGTACATACATACAGAATGTGGCAGGGTTAAACATGTTAGTGGGATCCCAACCCTCCCCCTAACCTGGGACAGTGGTGTAACAGTACAACAAAAGAACGAACTATAAAAATCATTTGAAAAAGGCTTAACTCATCGGTGGACGTGGACGTGGTCGGGTACTTGTGTATCCCAACAACAAAAAGACACTAAGTACAGATCTGATAGTACTCACAGTTACTGACAGCTAGTTCAAAGCCACTAACAACTAATAAAAAAAAGTCATGCATCTAAGACTAAATTATCAATCAGTACACATCCAACATCCAATGGATTTAGTGTAAAGACGTCATAAACAGTCAGAGAAAAACATGACTTTGTGCAATCTGCTAACCTGTATGAAATCTACTGTGCTATTTGTAACAATGATTTACCAGATCTTGATTTTAGAAATGCCTCAAACACAAATTCGGAAATTTACATTGTAAATGTCAACTAACCAAATTGGTGAAAAATCTATTGACCCAAATAAAGGCAACATTTATATACCGCTGTTCAATAGTCATAAATCGATTACGCGAAAACAAATCGTGGTCACAAATCAGAACCGAGGGAACAAATCCTGGTCACAAATCAGAACTGAGGGAAACACATCGACCTTAAGAGGATAACAACAGAACAACAAGAACAAGAAAGGAAAAGATAATAGCTATTGGTGTAAGCATGTTTATTGAAATAAAGAGATTCCTACTTCTTTACATTTTCAGAGGGCACAAAAAGTTGATAAAAAACAGGCATACATAATCTGTTGAAATTGGGCGTTCTACTTGTTTTAAAAACACGTTTCGACTACACAGTAAAACTCAAGGTATACTAATTAATCCAAATACCGATATATGTAGCCCAAAGATGGCCTACTTAACTATGCATAAAACATAAACTATCAATAGATTAATTGTACAATTAAATGTTTAGAAAGCTAGTTCAATTTGACTGTAAAACTACCAATATTTTATTTTCATCATGTTGCCCATTTCATTCAGATATTATGAAAGAGTGCTTCAATTCAGTCTTTATGACAGGGATCATGTTGCTTAAGCTTTAAGAACGTTTAATAAAAATTGATCGCCGTCATCATTATTCATTGTCATAAAATATTATTATCAATTTTCTCCAGTATATATAGAACTCGTCTAATACAATTGCAAAATATCTTCTTTACAAAGTTTCACAGTGCATACCTTTTTTCTGTATACTTTATGCATAAATGACCTCATTCGTAACATCACATTGTACTGTGATGAAGGTATTTAAAACATTAATGTTCTTTCTCTATTTACATGATAGTATCTTGTTATTTAAATACACATTTGAAAACCTTGGATTTC